AACAATGGTTATCTTAGACCTCGACAGTTGTGCATATAACATAGTCGATATAATAAACCCGATAGGTTATTTTCCATGTACTAGCGAAACAATCAGTATACACACGCACTCAAATAAAAACAACCATTATTTTAAGCGAATAATTGACAAGGTCAAAGGTTATGCGAACATGGTCAGAAAAGTGTCCGAAAGTTCGGACAAACCATGTGTACCAGCACGCACCGCAGTAATAATAAAAATTATTCACCTCAACAAGCTTCCTTTTGAAGGAAATGAAAATAGAATGGAAATAATCATCATCCGTTTACTAGACAATCGAACATTGAACGTTGATTATCAGAAATGACATTCACCGAAACCAAGGATTTTGATGCTTATCAACATTTGTTCATCAATCAAGCACTGAATTGTAAAATACCCATTACCCTTAATAAATAGTAAAACTACTTCTGATACACACTAGCTTGCTTTGCTAAGCATTAATTTTCATTCAGATAAACATTATTCATCGTACTTTGAATTTATGTTTTCTTTACGATTAATATATTTTTCAACACTTTTTCTCTTTTAGATTTTAGTGTTTTGATTTGTGCTACTTATCGGTATAATAAGTAGTTTGCAAATATGTGACATTTTCTCCAGTGTCTTGAGAAATTCGTATAAATCATACTGTGATATTCAACAAATTTTGTCTAACCGTAAATATTTATAATTCACAGCCATTTGTTGTCCTCTGGATTATTGATAAAATTCAAAATCTCCTTTACTTTAATATACATAGTTAACAAATCATTGTTTGACATATATTATTTGTATTGACATTCATTTCTGTAAAGGTTGGTGAATATTCATTTGTGACTAATTTCCTGAACTAGAATTGTAAGAGATATGGGATATTCTGTGCTCTTAGACATACAATCGGTTCACAAAGTAAAAGACTGTATTATTAAAACATTTTTATAGATAGATGTAGACTATTCAGTAGGGGTCAGCAGAATTTTCTTAATCAGTTGTCGAAGAATTTCGACTGCAGGTTTCAGAGTTGGTCACTTTGTTCCTAACTATTTAAAACTGGACTTCACAAACCCATTACTTCTTTGTGAATCATGTTGTCTATCCATTGTCAGCACTTTAAAATAAGTAGTCTCATACTACAACATAGGAGTATTAGAATTTGCGTTTTTGTATTGTCAGTTTTATTTATGCAAAAATCATCCAGTTGTGTCAAGTGTGTGGCAGTTACTCACCAAATAAAATAGGTTGTCACTGATTATAATGGACTGACTGAAGCCGATTCGGCAGTCTAAGGGTTAAGTGTTTGAGTGAGGAATCGAAGTCCCTAGGTTAAACTTCCCACATAGTTCAAGGATGCACTCTGATGAGATGCCCAATATTAAGATGAAACGGCCGTCCAGCGCTACCAGGTTTTCAGAGGTTTAGTACTGATCATTTAATCAATTTAATAAAATTCAACAACATCCAGGACCCTATACTGAATAGGTAATTTTACATCATAAAATCCATAGTTTTTAAAAATGAACAAATATTTGACCCGCCTCAATATTGGGTATTTTGTTGACCGTTGAATTTATGGTTCCAGATCACAGATTTAATTTAGTTGAGTACTGACTGAAAACCTCAAGATATCTGCCATCTAATTAGTTATGTTATATAACTATTTAACAGTGCAGATTGATGATTACACAAAAGTTAGAATTTAAAATCTTCAACTATTAACATTTAGACTCTTCGGTGGATATTTCATTGTTTCAGTTACAATGAATGTTTTTAAATCAACAGAATTCAAGATAACAAACTAGTTTCCTTGTATTATCAAAAGTTATTTATTGTTTTAGTGACCAAATCAATTAAACGAAAACGTACCAGTAAAAAACTTATAGTTTTTCTCGTGAATAAAACTACGATCAACAAATGTAGGAGAAAATGCACAATCCAACAGCAGCCTCTGCAGTAGTAGGTCTCAACATGTACAAAAGAAAAAACAAAATTCTCAGATAAAGTTTAACATGCACCAACCAAATCACACGATGGAGATGCTTTGGAATATATGGAAACCGTTACACACATGGACAGGTTCATTGATCAAACAAAGTGAATTTGATATAGAAGTGAAGACACGGATTGAGACGACAAGGGCAGCATTTCTACACTTGAAGAACATCTGTTACTCAAAACAACCGTCAACCGACCTCATAATCAGAATTTACTGTACAAAACACAAAAACCGTTCTATTGTATAGAAAGGAAACTTCAAGAAATACAAAAGCCGTTATCCTTAAAATACTAGTGTTTATCAACAATTTTCTACACAAGATACTGATGATTCACTCACCAGTCACCATCAACGACAATCAATTGAAGGAGAGAACTAACCAGATTGCAGCTGGGTAAGAAATTAGACAAAAGTGGTCGAGGTGGATTGGACACACATTGTGGAAATCACTCAATTGCATTACAAGGCAAGCTCTTACTTAAAACACTCAGAGTCAAAGGAAAAGAGGAACAACAAAGAACACCTTATACCAAGAATAGGAAGCAAACATAAAAAGAATGAATATCAGTTGGGTAGAATAGGAAAGGAAGGTCGAGAATGGAGTAGATAGGTAAATACTAGTTGGCAGCCTGTGCTGCATTATGGGCAAAATGAGTAAGTAAGTAAATTAATAAGTACTATCCATCTGTAGTTTAAAAAATGATCAACCATTATTAAACAATAATAATAATAATAATTGATTTCATTTATTTCTGATTTGACTTTTTTCTTTATCTCTCTCATTCTCTCTCTCTCGCCAAAAGGAATTATTTGAAATAAATTGAGTGATTCAATGAAAAGTTACAATAAATATATTACCATATTTATTAGTATCATACAAAATAAAACAAAACTTTAACAAAAAAAAAGATTAATAATAAATCATAGTTTCAATTTTATGCCAAGAACATGTTTCCATTGTTATTTTTATTTTAAAATCGACATTAAAATGAGTTTTATAAAGTGAAATTTTCTAGCACCAATAAAAATTGATGCACTCACTGTTGTATGTAGAAGGGTTATAGTGGATGTGCACACACGCACACGCACACACACACAGAGACACAAAAACAAAAAGAAGAAATAGAGCAAAGAGAACAATCACTCACTCAATTTGAAGAGAAAACGAGGCTAGTCAAATTAGGCTTACAACTGGTGATAGAGAGTGGTGACATGCAAAAAACAACAAAACACTAATATGAATAAGATCTGTGCTTATGATTTACACTAGGGCATTTAGTGTGAATATGGGAATAAATTGAGTAAGTAAGTGGAATTTTCTATACATCGTTTTTCATGATATATATATATATATATATATATATATATATATATATATATATATATATATATATATATATGCCTGAACTAACTTGACGATATTTTCCACAAATATATCTGAACAGTTTTATTTTTTTTGGCGTGACATTAGCCTCATCAGTGATTCCTTGAAATTTTCCAGCAGATATCACTCCATCAGTATTTAGTTATACTGTTTGAGACCAGTTGATAATTACTGATTGAAAGGTAAGTTAATTTATTATTTGGTAGTTAAGAACTCATTGGTGAATGTTAATTACAACTTAAAGATTCTAATTTGGGAAAATTAGAACAATACACACACAAGCGAACAATTAGATCGTTATGAAACTTCGCTATACATGAATATTGATATTGAAAATGTTAAACTAAACAAGATATCCATGTCCCGGAGTGTCACCTATTTCTTCGGAATACATAAATTGGGGTTGAATGTTTGGATTCCTATGGCTTCTGTTATATGTAGGAGACTAGGTCGAACTCTGTTGGGAAATGATGTAGAAATACAGTTGGTCACTCGAAATGATTCTGTTTTATTTATGTAATGACTATTGTCAATCAGGTGTACCAAGGTAAAGCTATGTATTGTATTTATGAAGCTTTTTTCAAACCATGCTGGGAGATGTCCACTAATTCGTTGATTAAGTTGCCTGGCACTACGCCCAATATAGCCATCTTCACAAATACACACCGAGGGGACCAATTCAGATAAATGATCCTTCGTTTAAGTAGACATTATTAGCCTACTAGAAAATGTCTTACTAGTTGACTTAGCTAACCTATTGTACAGGACATCAACCCTTGACCTATAACGTAAGTAGCAAATATGGAGTGAAAGTGGCCAATCCCATAAACCTCATTAGGGTAATATATAAATGAAATAAAAGGTTACTGAGAGATTCCTTGTTAATCGAAATTACTAATTACCAACAATAGTAAACAAAAAATACTAACGTAATCTAATCTACAGGATTAATAAGCGTAGTTTGTTAGTGAATTTCTGAAATTTAATGGAACAAAAAAGTGATTTTATATTCTTGATATATTTATTATTGGTCACAACAAATCAGTATTATTTTCATTTCATTAGAACAACATATCCATAAATATCTATAAATAAGTGGTAACTGTTTTTATGTCTAATATCGTTAGATAATAAGGGTGTATAGTAAAGAAAATGTCGATGTCCACATTAATAGTGAGTGTTTTCTAGTGAATAGATCCTTGAGGAAATTCTTGGAGTTCTGGTGAGAAGACATGACCAGTGGAGTCAACCCTTCCGGCTGTAGGTAGTAACTACCGAGAACAAATGTGTGAACTCGAGCAAAATCCCTAGATTGATCAGATTTAGACATTAACACCGTTGGATGCCGGCTCAGTGTTCCAGAGGATAGGCGTTCGCGCGAGAGACCGAAGATCCTGTGTCCGAATCCTGCAAGTAGCAGGAAGCATGGATGCTCACTACTGATGAATCTCATACCAGGACGATAGGCTTCCAGGTTTCTAATGTTGGTCTAACTATGAATAATTCACATTTCAGTTAATAAGTAACTTATATAAAGTGTATTTAGTAGTTTTAATTACAAAACTTAATTTAATCTCATTACATTTATTGAAGAGTAAAACTATGAATTGGATCACCACATCAGACTACTACAGTAATGAACAAATTCGGTCAAAATTATTTACCGAAAATAATATTAATTACTCTGCTTCATATACTCTATCACAGATGAAGTATGCTGAGAAAACCATGCATCCCTATCCAAAGAAAATGATTCAAACTGATGCTAAAAAATATTTGCCATATCAAAATCAGGAAAATATTAATTCAAAAAGTCAAGAATCTGAAGCGAATTGTACACTGTTAAATCATTTATACAGTAATGACAATGATCTAACAGAATATCACGGTGAGAAATATCCGCATTATTATTCATCACCAACGACCTATCTAACAGAATCGACAAATTGTCAATCAGTGCACAATGCACCTGCAGACAAACACTGGGATTCGTGTTATTTGTGTGATAATAATAATAATAATAATAATAATATTAATAGTTTTCATAATGAAACTCATAATTACACAAATATTTCCGATGATTATACACATCGAAAAACGATGTCCGATTATTTGAAATATGATCAGTCACTTATAAATTATCACCAATATTCTATGTCAAATAATCTTTATGATAAAACCCCTGTTCAAATGTTGTATAAACATGAAGAAATTCCAGATCAATTGTATTCTACAAAGTATAATGATGATAATAATAATATTGAAGATGTACAACAGACAAGTACCGAGATAAATAAAGAAATGTTTAATCTAGTTGGAACAAAAACTTTCATATGTCGATGGAAGTCATGTCGTTTGGTAAATGATTATATGATTTGATTGGTGTTGCTTATCTGTAGTTTATTTTGATTTGTGTATTGTTGACATTTAAGTGTGCTTATTTTGGATTACATTTTGTAAAAAGAGGTTGTAGAAAACGGCTTCCTTCAGACATATGATCATTGAACGTTAAGGCCAAATGGACGAAGTTTTCAGCTTAGTATGTAACTTAACCACAGGGCTTACTCATAACCTGACCAGGAACTGAAACCATAACCTCCAGGACATCAATCATGTTTGATGGTAGATTCGCATTGTTGATGTCAATAATGTGAAATTATTGTAATTCAAACCGGGTGAATACCACCATCTCAGTATTGCAAATATAAAAAGCTTCATGCAAAACATGTCGGTTTTAAGTTAAATACCTTATAAGGGTTACTGGTACATTTTATTATTATTACTTACCTGTGTTACTCCTAATGGAGCATAGGCCACCGAAAAGCATTCTCCAACCTACTCTGTCCTGGACCTTCCTTCCTACTTCTACCTAACTGCTATTCATTCTCTTCATGTCTGAGTTTTGGTCTTCGTCTCTTCCTTTACCTTGAGGGTTTCATTTTAGGGTTTGACTGGTAATGCAGTTGAGTGATTTCCGAAATGTGCGTACTATTCAACCTCAGTACATTTTCCTAACTTCTTCCTCAGCTTCATTCTGATTTGTCCTCTCCCTCAGTTGATTGTCTTTGATGGTGGCTGGTGAGTGAGTCCTCACTATCTTGTATAGACACCTGTTAATAAACACTTGTATCTTCTGGATGATGCCTTTGTGATTCTCTAAGTTTCTGCTCCATAAAATAGAACTGTTTTGATGCTTGTATAAGAAATTCTGATTCTGAGGTCGGTTGACAGTTGTTTTGAGTTTCAAAACTTCTTCAATTGTACAAATGCTGCCCTTTTTTACCAATTTGTGTCTTTATATCTGCATCAGACTCACCTTTCTTATCAGTGATGCTGCCCAGGTGTGTACTGGTTTCTACATCGTCTAAATCGAAAACCGCATAGAATTATTTTTTACTTAAAGTTGTGCAGTAATTAGAAAATTTTGTTATTAACTAGGATTTATAACATATTATTAAATAATTTATAAATTATATTTGTAAGTCAGGCAAAATAACTCAGTTTAACTAATCGACTAATCTCTGTTAGTATAGGAAATTCCTTAAACGAGTACCCTCATACAATTTATAATTTTACTTTTACAAAACTTATTGTTGGTGGCACTCAACTCTCTTCTTTGTATCTTTAAGCTTCTTTTTGTTTTCAACAGACATTTACAGATCATAAATCATTTGTAAATCATATTGAATCGTCGCATGTTACTGCACATTTATCAAATAAAGAATATTATTGTTATTGGGAAGGTTGTCGACGTCAATTCAAGCCATTTAATGCACGTTATAAATTAATTGTTCATTTACGTATTCACAATGGTGATCGACCAAATAAGTGTACAGTAAGTTAGATTAGATTTTTTTGATGATTGTTATTGCATTCAACATTATCTAGTACTTGATTTTAGGAAGCGCCAAATTGACTATATCTACGTTTTATTGTATTTGAATGACCTTATATTATCTATCATTTAAAACATTTGAATTGTCAGTAGGGGCTGGTGAAGGTTATGGGATTTCATTGAAATTGCGAATCTTTCTAAGAAAGATAGTTATCGAGAGATTGGAAATACTGGACAACTGTTACATTCTAGTATAGTACTCCGAAGTACCATACAGAGTTGTGGATGCGCATTATTAATCAGTCTCAATAGAAAATTAACTGATAATGGTTTTAATTTATCCAAAATAATTAGTTGAGATTCACATTGAGATTCAAATCTAATACCGTATACTTTAAGTTCAAGTTTTAATGTCAAAAATGAGATTTAGGTGTATTCATTTGAATAGTTTCAAACGGGGCGAAACATTAGTCCGGATTGTTACTGCTAAGTGGAATTTAACTATGATAAAAACTTGTAACTAAAGACATTGTTAAAGCATTCACTTAGAATCCCCTTTTCGTACCAGGGATTAAGAGAAAGAAATATTGAAATATCTAAACCCTTACAAATAACATTATCGCCTTAGTTTATAGTTTGATTATAATAATAATCAGCCTAAATTCACTCATTTTTTAAATTTATTTTCAAAGTATCCTGGTTGTTTCAAATCATTTTCTCGTTTGGAAAATTTAAAAATTCATATACGTTCACATACTGGTGAAAGACCATTTCTTTGTCAACAAGATGGTTGTGATCGTACATTTTCAAATAGTTCCGACAGAGCAAAACATCAACGAACACATATACATATTGTAAGTTTTTTTATTGGTAATTTCTTGCATGAAAAAATATCAATTTTGTTTGTCATGTCTAGCGGTACTTTAATCAGCCATGAATGTGACACAAAACTTAGCACTTCTAAGAAGTCGATTCATGTTGCTCCACCGTATTAGCATAGTCAGTTGAAATTGTCACGTAATAACAATATCGGTAGTAGTAAAAATTATTGAACATAGTATAATTTGAAAAGATCATTTTGAAACTCAGGATTTAAAAGAAAACAAAAAGTAAATGCAACTTCGTCAAAACGAACCGTTCTAAGCCTTGTTTTGCGACCATTAGCGATGATAATCTTTTGGACCCCAAGCAAGCAGACTGGGCCTAGTTTAGCCCATCAATTGATGAAGTCGTGAAATAATGCCAAGTCGTGATTCGACTATTTCTAACTCCCTTTCAACCTACTCCTACACTGGGCGAATTTTACGTACAAGTAGGTGATGTCTGTACATACGCAGTCAACCAACTTGCCCAGTACGATGCGTATAACTTGATGCTTGCAACATACTCAAGGAATGTTTCCTAGTCTCTTGAAATCCCGTGCTAAATTACAAACTGGAGCTTTTAATGTTCGAAACCTATGCCAAACTGGCTACCAGGCTTCAATAGCTATAACTGTGGAATACCGTGCGATCGATGTATGTTGCGTTTCCGAAACGCGCATACAAGATCCGAGTAAAATCATCAATTTGATCTCACCTAGTGCAGATAGAGACACAACAAGGTTTATACTTCGTGTTTCAGGTAGCCCTGATACTGACTCCCGTGGCCTCGCTGGCGCAGGTTTAGTATTAAGTCGTAGGGCAGAACTAGCTCTCATAGACTGGATCCCGATAGACAGTCGCTTATGCGCAGTCCGACTAAACGGGACGGGACGGACTCGGAAGCATAGGGAAACTCGCCGTTGCCTCTTCGTCATATCTGCCAACGCTCCCACTGACTAAACTTCAGATGAGGTGAAAGATGAGTTTTACAGAAAGATTTCAGACCTCCTCCAAAAAGCTAGGCGCTCTGATATGGTAATGATGGCTGGTGACTTAAACGCTCAAGTAGATAGACTCAGCGAAAAGTAAAGACACCTGGGTGGAATCTTATGGTGTCGCAGCTCAAAGAACAGATAATGGCGACCGTCTGCTGCAGCCATGCTCAGATAACCGCCGTTTCCTAGCAAACACTAACTTTAAGCATTAGGTAAAACACTTTGTGACCTGGCGACCTCCAAAGCCGATTCAACGATGGACCCAACTAGATCACATCGCTAAAAGACATCGGTGGAGAGGCTCTATTGAAGACTCAGACCATGCTCTAGTGTGAGCGCGTATTTGTTTGCGTTTCACTGGAAGTAGGAAAAATATCTCAAGGAAACCTGTTCGGGCTCTATATAATGATAGTAAAGCTAAGAATATATTTCAGGAACAACAAGAAAAACAGTTAGGCGACCATGTAAGTGCTTTCCATCTGGAGGCAGCTTGGAATGATATCCAAAAAGGCTATGGAAATAGCACTGATGCCTGCTAGTAAGTTAAACCACAAGGTTAGAGAAAAGCCGTGGATTTCAGTAGCATCTACCCAACTGATGGATGCTCGATAGCTCATCCCGCCTGGGTTGCATAGGCACCTGAACTAGTGATAAGGAGTGATGTAGTCGAACGTGTCGACCGCTGCACTTATCTGGGGAGTCTCATCAATGCTAATGGCCTGGTGGCTGACGAAATCTCAGCACGGATATAGAAAGCTCGATTGGCCTTTGTGTCCCTTATGTCTCAGGCGAGATATCCGTTTGCTGACTAAAGGACGAGTCTACTGCGTAGTATTTTGCTCCGTCCTACTTTATGGCTGTTAAACTTGGCCCGTCAGAGTAGAAGTATTTGTAGGTTGCTTTTTTCGGCCATGGGTGTCTCCGAAGCATTGCTCGTGTACCATGGGACAATCGAGTGAGCAATGCTGTTGTTAGGAAACGGGTACTAGGTAAGAATTGCCGATCAATAAATGAAGTATTGAAACTTTATCAGTTTTAAAGTAATTATATTACTCTCGCGATCCGCTCTTAACCCGAAAGGTGTAGGTTCACACGCGTCTCGCCCAGTTCAAGTCCAAAAAACGATAATTCCGGGAGAGAACGGTTCTGTATTTAATCAAAAAAGGGAATTCAGAAAATTACCAAAACAATATTACACCTTCGAGTTCCTAATATGGCTGTAGCCATATTAAATATCAATTTTAAACAACACATATATAGTTCTTAAGGAAACATGGAAACTTCATTATAAGTACAAGATATAAAATTAGTAACAATATACAAGTGATAAATTCTCAAATGGAATCAAATAAAGTACCAAAATATCGAACAGAAGAGTCAGTCAGATCATAACACAAATATATATACATGGAGGGATTTTCCAAAAACAAAGCCTTCAAAATAGATTCTACATCAGTTGAGCTAATTGGGACATGTATTGCGTATGCTAAACCACCGATATATATTTTGCGGTGTAGGAATAGACTGGACGAAAGCTAGGTGCGGTCAGACCAAAACATGGCAGATATCCTTGAAGTCACTGACAAGTGGACTGAGTCATGTCGGTAGATATTAACTACGTGGTTAGGGCCGCTAGATGATGGTAATAGATGGTTAGAGGACCTGAATGACATGGTTCAAAATTGTTTGCAATGGCGCCGGTGCATTCATTCTTTGTGTCCTCCCAATTCTAATCTTCAGAATTTCTTATCATTTCTATCTCTCTCTTTTTAAGTCTATTTCACTAGATTCTACTTCCTGAATAATATCTTCTAATCCTAGCCTCTCCGACTACTGCTAATACTTTAACTCCCTCTACTGCTATTGGATTTGAATTGACAATTACATCTCTGTGCTAATGTGGTATGGCAACATGAACTGATGTACGTACGTACGTTTTACGTTGCTGTTGATTGACTGACTTTAGATGCTGTCTTGGGTGTACAACAATCGAACCACTGAATTACAGAAATCCCCGGCCTCATTCATTGTACGATATTTGGTAACCATTATACAGTGTGACTGATGGATAACTTACCCATTTCTGACATAATCAAACTTGCTTGACCGCGATTTTTCTCTGGAACTTCAGGAGTGTGCCACTTACCAATCTGTGGATTTAGATCATAGTTACACTATGTCTTGTGATAACTGAAGTTAAAAACGTAAACTATTAAACGTCAGTTCAATATTTTAAAACGAACGAGGTCTCCAGCAGACCTGGAGTTCAACGGTTTCGATGTATACTATCGAGGATCCCCTCCTGTTTCTTAATAGTTGTCTAGCTACGGACAATTCGTAATGTAATTTACTAAAGACTGGTTTCATTTATAAGAGGTATATTACTTAAAAAAATAATACAGCAATCAGTTTATAAAAAAACAATGATCTCCAAAATTCTAATTGAGAAATCGGACAATGTGCTCACTAGTGACTAGCTTCTTGCAGAAATTCTCGGAGTTCTAGTGAGAAGACATGAACAGTGAATTTCAACCATATCGTGTGTAGGTGGTAGTAACTACCGAAAACAAATGGGTGAGGTGGCACAAAATCACTAGGTTGATTAGCATTAGACATTAATTCCACTGGATGCCGGACTAGTGTTCGAGAGATTAGGTGTTCGAAGACCCTGGGTTCGAATCCTGCGGGTAGCAGAAGTCATGGATGCTCACTGCTAATGAGTCCCATACCAGGATGAAATGGCCGTCTTTCAATGCTTTCAGGTTTCTAATGGTGATCTAACAATGTTTGACTCATGATTTCTATGTGCAAAAACAATGATATTAAATTGAAACAAGCAAACATGTGACTGTCACCTGTTTAGTTTTCAATAATTAAATTTATATATTGACGCAAAGAAAGATGACCAGTCGTAGACAAGTCACAACTAAGAATGTTTGTTTCCTAGTTAAGTTATATATATATATATATATATATATATATATATATATATATATATATATGTAATGACTTGTTTGTTTGTATTTTGTTAAACATTAATTATTCTACACCTTATGTCAAGTGTGGTACTTTCTCTAGTCATTATTTACAATTCATGAGACTTTATTTTCTCTTGAAAAAAACAAATTGATACCGCTTTATATTCAAGAAAAAAACCATTAATATTAATCATATTAATAATAATGTAATTTCAACTGTATCATTAATCATAACTGACAGTATTTAACAATGAACACACATGGTCAGGTTGATTTATTTATTTTTCTTTTCAGAACACTATGTCTTAGTGAATGTCATTGTTAAATGTTTTGTATTGTAGTGTTCAATAGAAGACACGTTTTACACATTTTTTTGTGGTTGTTTTAAAACAATTCCCCGATGCATAGACTTTCATTCAATGATTGACTAACATTGTAAGATGAAATTACATTTTTAGGGATTTATCATCCAAAAATTTACCTGAATACTAGGTTTATTAATTGTAGGATCCAAACTGAGGTTTGGATTGAGGAATAACTGTCTAGGTAGATTAGATAAGCGTCTTGCCATGTTGAATTCAAAACAAGTGATTAGCGTGAATAACGGTTCTAATATTCATCATAAATATAAATTTACATCATTACCTAAACAATATTACCAGTCAGCTATTCCACCAACAATTGTCCAATTATTCAAATCAACAGGAACAAATAAATGATATTCTATCCCTCCTGGATAGATCATATTCGTTCGACAGTTAATATTTGGTTGCTTCATAATACAGGCTGTTTTTTATTCTGGAAGGGTGCTTGAATTCACAATCAAAATGCACAATTCCAGTCATAGCACGCAACCCAATCAAAAGAGGAACGAATCAATATGGCTGTCAACATGACTAAGTATCAGCTTAAACAACATAAATGCAGTTCAGAAAGAAACATAGAAACTCAGTGAAGGCAAAAGAAATAGAAACCATACTAAACCGATAAGGACAAATTAGAAATGTATACATGAAGG